GAACTTCATGATAAATTCACATGTAGATGTGATAGAAATGCCGAAGGAATAAAGTGGAGGAAAGAAGCTAACGAGAAACGGAGACAATTTTACAAAACAGAACGGGGAGTTGAAATTAGAAATAATTACAAAGAAAACAAATTAGGAAAAAGAAACTAATTGGTGTCCAAGATCCTATGCAATTACACTTATTACAGTACATGATAGTAATTGGGAGGTACTTGCTAATTGCGCAAAGGGTGGGGGGTGGGTACTTAGAATAATTACTAATTACCCAATTACCTCTCTCTGTACCTCTGATCTTGGTCCAGAACTGGCTAATTTTATCTACTATTGTCATTTATTTGATATATTTTTTTATTTATTTTTCTTGGGATTTTTAGTTAATATAATTATATAACACTTTGTATGGTATTTATTTTACCCCTCATAGTTATTTGTCATAGAATTTTACATTTTGATTGGCATTTCATAATTGTTACAAACAGCTAATAAAAAAGCAAAATTTTAAATATAATTAAGAGGAGAAAAATTTACTTTAGCAATTATCTTTTTCTAACCAATACGAAATAGAGCTATAAACATTTCTAGTTTATTTTTAATTTTTAGTGAATGAATAATATGTACATTCAGGTAAAAGTGAAATATTTGTTTCTCTGGAGCCACTATTCCGAAATCTAATTTATTTTCTCAAAAATTGAGAAAATCTTTACGAAATGAAATTTTGCTATTTTTGCCATCAAAATTGATCAAATTTTAAAAAGTGGCTTCAATGGAAAGAACTTCTACCTTCACTTACATGTTTTTTCTTTCACTAAAAATGAAAAGAAATTTTGGATGCCTATATTTCGTATTAGATGGAAAATAATTGTTAATATAAATTCTCCTCTTAGTGGAAGTAAAATAAGCCCGCCAATTTTCAAATTAAATATGGTATAACGGCTAACTGCATTACCAACAGAGTAATAATTGAACAGTTAATATTGCAGACAGAGTAGGATTAGTTGAACCGCCCGCCCCAACAGGTCACTGCAAGCAAACTTGTTGCCTCCATGGTTTGCACAAAGCACCAGAACTGTACTGCCGTTCTAAAAATAGATGCCGTATCTACAAAAAGTCGGAATTTGAAGTTTTTGTATGAATAGGTTCGTGGCAAACTAAATTAACTTCTTACCAAGTAATGATTCCGAAATATTAAAAATCCAACATAATTAGCCGCATCTGAATACTTTTACCGACTTAGGGTGAGATTACAGAACGTCTGCAACTTTGCAGATCTGCACCTTTGCAGATCTGCAAATATGGCGGACTTACAAATGCAAGTATTCCAAAAAATATCTGCAAATTCGCAATATTTATTGTGGTTTATTACCCCCAACAACACTAAACCCAAATGTGGAATACGAAAACTTGATACTTGCATGTGTAAGTCAGTCATATTTGCAGATTTTCAAAGTTGCCGCCATATTTGCAGATCTGCAAAGTTGCAGACGTTCTGTAATCTCACCCTAAGGAAATAACTTTAAACCTCATTTTCACCGCTTGACGCTCTCAGTAGATACGGCATCTGTTTTTAGGACGGCAGTGTAAATACCGCTTTTGGTTTGCATCCGTTATAAAAAACTCTCATTTATTTGGTGTCGTATCGGCCTAAAAATTTAAATAAAAAGTGCAAAAAATCACACAAGGTAAGTTGTTGTAGTGTTGTTATGTTCATTTCAAAGGTATTTTCTGAAATTGTTAATTGTTTAGTTTATTCACAGGTGCCTAATATTGCCATCTATAGGTAGAAAAAATATTCACATGGCAATATTTGGCTTAATTTTATTTGCTTTATGTAATTTAATTTATAATAATATTATTATGCGAAAAACAAATAATTTGTTAACCATAAATTAATAATATAATATTATTTACAGAGGCAAAAAATATGCGATTTACCCATACTCAAAGATGGCAATAGGTACCTGTGAAAATCTTGGATAATTAATGATTGTTGCTACTTGCCGCTGCAATTAAAAATAATTATTATTGTTGTTTTTACAGATGTCAAAGAAAAAGAGGACAGAGTGGTCGGAAGAAGATCTTAAAGAAGCGTTGATAGCCATAAAGAACGGATTAAGTATTAGCAAAGCCTCGCAAATGTTTCTATCGACTTTAAACAAGTCTCACCCAATTCAACCATGGCATTCATCAAAAGGTGTGGCTTGTACGGTGACCTATAAGTTAGTCATGAGCCACAATAGACCCATCTGGGTCGCAGTGGAAGGCGATGAGATCATCCCACTCATTTTCGACCTAACCTATACTCTTACGCCACGACACGTAACATTCCTAATCCATTTTCCCAGGCATCAAAATTAGCAGGCAGAAAGTGGCTGAAGTTATTTTTCAAGATACATTCTGATGTTGTGAGACGTAAGACGCAGCAAATGAACCCTGCTTAGGGCTCAGAAAATAAATCCATTTATTGTTAATGATTATTTTAATAAATTAAAGGAAGTCTACACTAAATTGGAGTTATTCGCCAAATCAGGCAATGTATACAACATGGTTGAGAAAGGTTGTCACCTTACGATTCATAAACAACAGAATTTATTGGCGAAAAAGGGTGTAAAGCGTGTCCACTTGGAGGCCCCTGAACATGGTGAAAATGTAACCGTAGCTGCATGTGGAAATCAAGATCAAGATCAACATGACTATTAAAGGAAGCATGACCAGTGAAGCTGTTATTTCCTGGCTCAACCATATTGCCATGTTTAAGAACCCAGGACCAACGCTTCTCATTTTTGATGGGGTCAAGTCACACCTAGATGCATCTATTGTGGATGCTGCCGAAAAAATCACGCAATCACTCTATTTTGCACGAGTTGCAACCCATGGACAAGTCAGTTTTTTTATAGCTATGAAGCATTTTGGGGTCAGGAAGTATTGAACTTTTTAACAACACAACCTGGAAAAGCTTTAACCAAAATAAGGTTTGGATAAATATTTTCAAAAGTGTGGTTGAAAGCAATGACACCGTCCAATATACTCTCTGGATTTAGAAGTACAGGCATCTATCCTTTTGCTTCCGATGCAATCCCAGAATCTGCGTTTGTACCCAGCGCCGTAACAAGAATAGAGCCAACAAGTCCTATTCCCGGGCCAAGTGGAGTAAATTCATCAATAACCAAAAATAAAAAACACACTGGTTACCTCCAAAGTGTTTTCATTGGATTCAGAAGCTTCCCTCGATAATGACTCCTTCACAGAAAGTGGCAATGAACCACTAATTAAATTAATGTCTGCTTCTTCAGGAGATGTTACGGAGAAAGAAGTATCTGGTGATGATTTGGATAAGTCGTTTAGTGGCATGGGTTTTCTGGTTACTCCTGAGATATAATTTGCTTGCCACAAAGAAAGCCTGCTATTAATTCAAGGGCTCAAGAAATAACGAGAGATTTATTCAGTTCTCAGCCAAAATCTGCTCCAAAAAAGTCACGCAAAAAAACTTGGCCTCAAAGAAAGTGGTACACGCAGAATCTGCTCCAAAAAAATCATTGCTTGCGGTTGACTCTTGGATCTATTTTCTAAAGGCAAATCGATATGAGGTTGTGTTCGGTATGTAAAAGATACGTTCACGAAGAATGTGTCGGTCTATCTAAGGCCGACAAAGAAATGTTTATTTGTCCAGATTGTTATACTTAGTTTTTTCATTAACAAGAATATTACTTTTTATTTAGTTTTTCATAAGAATGTTCTTTTTTGGTTTATTTTTTATAAGAAGATTCCCTTTTATTTTGTATCTGGGTAGCATTTACGATATGTTTAAGTGTAAATGTAAATAAAGTTTTGTTTTTTATTTTGCTTATTTTAGTGTTTTCAGTGATGTTCCTAATACTGCCACTACATGGCAATATTTAGGTTACCTATTCCAAATATTGTCATTTTGCAATGTTTTAAAAAAATGCTAAAATAAAAATAATAAAGTAAAATTAAAAATAAATGGCAAACGTTTCATATTAGAAGATATGCTGTAGACTGTTTTCTATAACGTACAGGTTGATCGAGTTGAATATGTTAAAATAAAAAAATAAAAATCCTTAGGGTGGCAATAATTGGCTTAGGTACCTTATACCTAGATTAGATTATACCTATGTCTATTAAGAGTATATCAGGATAAACTACATAAGGTCTCATCAAAAACTAGGGCAAATACAAATTCACATTTGAACGTAGACTTTTTTCTGAAAACGATAACACAACGAACATTCTGCTATTTTGGCCCCAAATTGTTTAATCTTCTCCCTTTAATATCGAAACAAACAACTAAATTATATAAATTAAAAAATTGATCCGAACTAACCCAGGCATGTTTGAAATATTTTCAACCTATTATACTTCTAACTGTAAAGACAGGTTCACAGAACTGAAATTTGGGATAATTTGACATACTTAACCTATAATTTGATTAGTTTTTCTTCTTATTCTTCTTCTATTCCTTTTGCGGGCGATGTCCTTTGGGAAATTTCACCCATGATTTGATTTTTTATGAAAGAAAATATAAAAATGGAAACGTGAAGCATATTGTGTCTTCAGGAATAAACGTGTATTGTTTATTTCATACTCTTTTTACTTTGTTTTCCACAATAAAAACATCTCATCGTAGCTTGTTGACACAATTAAATGACAAATGGATATAGAGGTTATGTTAAATAACATTCGGTCCGCCATATTATTTGCCCAAATCGGCCAATTTTTCGGAACGTTTTTTAGGGGGCTATATCCTATCCAGTAAAATAATACTTTATTTAACTGAAGTTACAATCACTATAAAGATCCTAAAAATTAGGTATCGATGTTAGACCCTTCACGACTTTCATCAATTCATAGGCAACAATGCTACATTCAAACTAGAAACTTAACGTTTTAAAGTTTAAAAAGTCACAACCAAAATACCTATATTTATATGTAAAAAAAAATGAGGAACATTCCCAATATCAAGGTATATAACTTACTTTCTACTAGTGTGCCATTGAAGATGCCATCGTGGTATTCGGAATAGAAGCCTGGTCTACAGACACATTGATATTTACCTCTTGTCCAAGATTCCTTGTTCAAGGACTGGCGATAGATACACTGAAAGAAAAAAGTTTGGAATTAAAGATTATCCATTTTCTCAGATCAGAGCATAATTTTATTTATAAACCTACATGGCCCCCTTCAGACAAATAACAAAATTGATAGTAAAATGGTAAAAGTGGAATTACCATTAAGTTTAGAGATGAAATTAACAAGTTACAATACAAAAATAGTGAATTTTAAAGGTATTCTTAAAAATCCCTTTGAGTCGAGTCAAATTTTTTGTTAATATGGTATATTAGCAAATTTTTTTGATCATGTAATGATTAACAGAGAGACATCACATTTTTTAAAACATAATATTTTGAAAATACCCAGATAACACACATAGTTTAATGGACGCTCATTTTATATCCATTTGATAGCTGCATATCGATACCCAACAGACGTCTGTTTATGGACATTATTTTATAGAAGTAGTATGTGTTTAATATACGTTTAGTATGAGTTTAGTATACGTTCCGTATAAGTTTAATATACGTTTAGTAATATGTTTGCATTCAGTGGATGTACATCTTACATCTTAAGTTATTACTTATTTAACTTAACACACTTGATTTTCTTTCCAAAATATAATTGGTCAGTAAAAAATGAATCTAAAGCGCATTTTATTATAATAAATTGTTATTGTTAAATTGTTAAATCGGAAGTTCAGAAAAAACTTATCTTTAGACATCTAGATAACTATAACTGTAAGTATATCAAATAGGCAATCAATGGACATTTTTTGGTATCTTGACATCTATCAAAGCGTTTGATTATACTCCTAAAGTGATTTAATATTTATTATATACAATGTTGTAAGCAAGTCATAAACCCAAACTGCACAGTCTTTGAAGTATCTATCTAATAATGATGTTAATTACCTCTGGGAGTCCCCCGCTACCTCAGTTCGCTTCTCGTTCGAATGATAGTGTTAGATGGAGCTCATTTTGCATTATAATTCTCATTTAGTAGTTCATTAACTCTCACTAGAAGGTCGTGGGATGAAAATCCCTAAAGACGGTAAGAATTCCAATTTCCGCTTAAGTAATTCATTTCCGCGGAGAATCAAATTTAATATAGAACCCGGATAGAGGAGCTGTTGATGTTGCTTCGCCGGAAATTATAAGTTCATCGTGAATATTTAACAAAAAAAAAATATTGTTGGAAGGTTCTGTACTACAAAAAATTTGCGCTTTCTTTAGTGATGCATTTTCTTTTCATTACATGTTGATACTATTATTCTGAGGGCATTTAGGTTCATAAATAGGAGCATCAGGGACGATCCTAGCAAGTGTGTGTAGCGCGTGCACTGCACGCGGGTGGCTAAAAAAGGGGCGGCCGAAGGCCCCATAAATTTTTAAAAATTGTTAATATGTCGAATAAATATGCTGAATTTTAAATAGTTGAAGAATCAAAATAAGTTCCGACTTTCCGATAGTGTAGCAAAGTTTAAGAAAAATAGAATGTTAGTGCGTCATATGTTGGTCCATTTTCCATTGATGTCTACTGACATTATTGCAGCTTGCAACAGGGAATATTGTGAACTCTAATAAGGAACGTGGAAATGAGTTTGATGGATCACGGAACAACGTACCTGTGTTGTGATATTGTCACATTTGTGCGACCCGTAGAAGATTGCTATTTCATTATTCGCATTATGGTATCTATGCTGTTCGCACTGATTAATTTCCAAATGAGAAACGTCCACGTCGAGGCTGAGGAATCCTTTCAGTCTGCAACAAAGAAAAATCAAATTAATGTTATGAAACTGATAAGTAAGGAAAATATAGGATCTATACGGGTGATTATAAATGATGATGCCAAAATAAGACTATAGGGAGATGTATAAAAATAAAGATATAGTATAGTTGTCCAAAGTTTACTGTGCGAGCCAATTATTTAATCTTGAAACATTTTTATACAGTATGTTTACAAAATATTAAATGCATGTTACTTCATATCAGTCGTGAAGGGGAATAATAACCATTAAATATAGGTTTTTTGGAATTGCCTAACTGTTCTCTGTCTGTAGTTAATGTTTCATTTCGCAATGAAACACACTGTATACGGAGAAGCCCTGATTATTTTATCCTAAAAAAATGAATCAATATAGAAAAGAGTATAATTGCTGACGGAATCTTAATCCGAAATTGGGGAGATGGGATAAAAAAAATATCTCTCCAGATCTCTCTCATTTAGAAAGAAGCCTTTCGCAATGATTGTTTTCAAAAGCGAGCTACGTCCACAAATAGCTTCATTAATCTTCCTCAAAGTGTCGAAGAAAAAAACTTTAACGAGTCTAATTATCGTTTGTTTTTATTAAGGGTAACTACTGGTAAAAATTTTCGTATAGTATATTATGGCTGCTAATAGGTTTTCAAATAAAATTTTATTAGTAAAGGATAGACATCAAATAGTTATAATAAAAAGGGATTGTCAATATTATTGAAATACAGTGTGTTGTATTTTAAACATTATTTAAAATACAATAATACATTTTAAGCTCCTTCGAGCAATGTATCTGAATGTACGATATTGAAACTTTATTTTATTTATTTTATTTACTCCTGGCTAGCTATTAAAAATAAATTATTATTTCATAAAATCTGATATTTAAGTGGCCAATCTCTTATTAAAGTGGAGGAAAATTGTATAAATCCGTAAACTTAATACCAAAAAATCTGATGTGTCCAACACATGACTTTCCTATCTAGTTATTACAGGCTTTTTCCGGTTATTTTGTACAACCTATTGCAGCATCTCTATAAATGTTTAGAGGATAAACTAAATATATACATTGTCCACATACATCTACCGCGAAACATTTTTCTATAGATATTTAGCACTTTTCCTACAATTTTTCCATTACGGTCCATTTTAAAAAAATCATGTATGAACAAATATTATAGAGATCGATATCGCAAACAACTTTTATTTCAACAATTTTCATAAAAATCAGAATTTTGCACATTTTGTCAAATTTTTCGAATACGGACCATTTCAGGAAATTTTTACATAAAGCAAAAATTATAGATAATAATATTAGAAGTAACTTTTATTTGAACAATTTTTTTCCCCAAACATAAATAACATATATATTCCATAAAATATAAAAACGGCCTCCCATAAAGTACCCCCCCAGATGTTCCGACTTTGTCCAAAATCTAATCAATTCACGTCAGGCCGAAATAAAACTTAAGTTAAAAATTTAATGTTTTTTTCTTTATCCGTTTTTGAGTTTTCTTCAAATTTCGAAATTTACACATTTTCTCAAATATCTCGAATACGGTCCATTTTAGAAAAATTATTAATAGGATAAAAATTATAGAGAATTATATTATAAACAACTTTTGTTTGAACAATTTTTATAAAAAAAAATATTTTTTTACATTTTGTCAAATTTCGCGAATACGGACCATTTTAGGAAAATTTTGTATATAACAAAAATTATAGATAATAAAATAAGAAGTAACTTTCATTTAAAAAATTTTCTTCCCCAAACGTAAATAACAGATATATTCCATAAAATATAAAAATGACCACCTATAAAGTACCCCCCAGATGTTCCGACTCTGCCCAAAATCTAATCAGCTCATTAGATGCTGGAACAAAGCTTAAGTTTGAAATTTGGTGTTTTTCCGTGTATCGGTTCATGAGTTATGCGTTATACAGACACAGACACAGACACACAGACACACAGACACACAGACACACAGACACACAGACACACAGACACACAGACACACAGACACACAGACACACAGACACACAGACACACAGACACACAGACACACAGACACACAGACACACAGACACACAGACACACACACACACACACACACACACACACACACACACACACACACACACACACACACACACACACACACACACACACACACACACACACACACACACACACACACACACACACACACACACACACACACACACACACACACACACACACACACACACACACACACACACACACACACACACACACACACACACACACACACACACACACACACACACACACACACACACACACACACACACACACACACACACACACACACACACACACACACACACACACACACACACACACACACACACACACACACACACACACACACACACACACACACACACACACACACACACACACACACACACACACACACACACACACACACACACACACACACACACACACACACACACACACACACACACACACACACACACACACACACACACACACACACACACACACACACACACACACACACACACACACACACACACACACACACACACACACACACACACACACACACACACACACACACACACACACACACACACACACACACACACACACACACACACACACACACACACACACACACACACACACACACACACACACACACACACACACACACACACACACACACACACACACACACACACACACACACACACACACACACACACACACACACACACACACACACACACACACACACACACACACACACACACACACACACTCTCATGATTCCTATACTTTCCTTATACCTGTATACAGATAGGAAAGTAAAGTTTTTGGTGTAAACATAAATTTCGAAGATAATCTATTACAAAAAGTTATAAGCCTTCTTAATGACAATCTAGGAGTTAAAATTGAAGAACTGGACCTAAATAATTGTTACAAATTGGGTAAAGTGCAAAATCACCAATTTTATTAGAATCACTTCTTACGAAATTAACACTATTTCAAGATAAAGAGAAGTTAAAACAATTTAGAGATAAAGGTTTTTCAATAGCTAATGATCTAAGCAAGGAAGACAGGGAAAAACAAAAAAAATTGAGAACCCATTAAAAAGCAGCGAGATCACAAAATTTTAATGCCAGTATTAAAGGATTTACTCTATATGGTAATGACACTGCATTTTCAATTGAACAACTAAGTTCTGATAGCGAAGATAACGAGGTAGATACTGAAGTTCAATTTATAAAGCAGAGTAGTCAGAAATCTACCATGGTGGAAAGAACCCAGCCCAAACCAAAAATAAACAGAAGCAAGTGCTATCGCTAAAGTACAAAAAACAATTAATGCGAAGATTATAATTTGTACTTTTGAAAATTCTGATTAAACAAATTAATTTTCTGTACTATAATAATTAGATTTAATTTATATTATAAAATAAATAAATTTTTAAATAATAGCTAATGGAAAATGTATATTTTTTTTTTTTTTTTTTTTTGGTGTCATCGGCGTCGACTACTACTTTTTATAGGTCATTTTAACGTAGATTCTTTAACATTAAAATTAAATTCAGTAAAACAAACTATTTTAGCTAAATCATATAACATTTTCGCCATATCAGAATCGTGGTTAAAATTAGAAGTTGATGATAATTTACTAAAATTAATGGATAGAATCTAGTCAGATACGATAGACTTCATAAGCGGGGTGGAGGCATTCTTTTATATATTAAAAACAATTTAAGATTCAAAGTTCTGATAAGCGAAAGTATGAATTATGTTGAACAATTTTGGATAGAAGTAAATATAAATAAGGTGAGGTATGCTATTGGTGTAATCAATAGACCTCCTAAATCTAACTATTCATTATTTTTAAACATTTGAAAATACACTTGATATATATACTGGGTGTGACAAAATAATTTATAGAGGCGATTTTAATATAGATCTTTTGGATATACAGTCAAACACGTGCGCTAATCTTTTAGCAGTTACGGAATCATTTAGTTTAAATCAACATATTTCTGAACCTAAAAATTCAAATTCTTTTATTTGTACTAGGGACAATATACAAAGTGTATTGTGTTGTACACGTCAATATCCATAATTAAATATTACATAAAGATAAAGCTAAAAATTAAAATAGGTGATGCAAAAATACCAACTGCAAGATGTAGTATTGTTATTAATAATTAATTATTAAATAGGTCGTCTTACCAAGTAAGAATGGCGTATTTACCAAGACTAGAAGAAAACCTAGCAAAACCCATAGTCCCATAATTTGCAATTATTAATTACGTCAATCATAGTATTTACCACCACAGAAAATTAATACTGATAGGTAGAAAAAGAAGAAAAAATAAACTACTAAATAGCTAAAAAGGATCCTATCTTATTTCTAATGCTAACTTATTACATGAATTTGAAATATTTAAGATTGTAACATCATCTAGTGAGTAGGGCTCAATATCAATTAAGATATTTCTAATGGTTGACTTAAATCTGCCTACATTTTTAATATTTTTTATATGGCGTGGAAACATATTATAAAATTGTATGCATTTAAAATAGCATCCTTTTCAAATAGTGTAGTTTTATGCGTTGGTACTACAAAACTATCTACTCCGCGTGTATTATGTGTGTTATATGACCAAAAATACGTTCTCTGAAGTAAACCTGGTTTTCAATTACAAAATTTACACAAAAATATACATATGCCCCAACCACCGTCATCAGATTTGATTGTCCAAAAACCCCTCGACAGGAATCTCTAAAGTTCGACCCAGTTAATATTCTCAATACTCTTTTTTGTATCACAAGGACCTCTTAATTGTGAGAACCACCCCAGAAGATGATTCCGTAACACATAATGGAATAAAAGTGTCCGAAATAGGCAGATCTCAAAGTGTTTTGGTTTACAACTTTAGCTAATTCTTTCAGAGCAAAGCAACTC